CTCTTGTGGGTCCTTGGCGGTATAATGTTGATTGGTGCTTAGTAGTTTCGGGGTTGGTTAAGTATGGTACAAACAATTTTAATCAATGGAGTAGCAAAATGAAGGATGAGAACCGAATTTCTCCTTAACAAAATCTCTCCATCAATCAAGGAATCCAACCAAGAAGTCGACACCAAACGAAATAGGTAACATATACCTAATTTATGCATCATCCTAATTTTGAGTCGTAAATCCCAATAATGTCATTATCCTTCATAACTATGTTTTATTTTGTATGGAAGATGCTAAGGAGACTTTTAAAAGTGAGACTTCTCATGGACTCTCGCCATCTTATATTTTTTGCACAATATTTTATAATATTAGCACATAAATTGACGTTAAACTGTGAGGTGATATAAAATCCATGGAGAGTCTCACTTTGAGAGAATCTCGTTAGCATTTCTTGTACCAAGAAATATCTGACTATAAATACTTGATTATCCAACTATTTGTGAAAATTATTATCTTCTACAAATCCGTCTAAGACCTTTATTTATTAACATTTCATTTACTATTATATCAAGCCCATCTTTATTAGAATTAGGTTTTTGAGGTAAATTTTCATTTTCAATGTTCTTTAGAACTACTAGCTAGTTAACGTCTCATTAACTAGGTGCACCTCATGAACCTTGTTCATTTCTCTCTCGTTGAAAAAACATCTCTAAGTTTTTTTTTTTTTTTTTTAAAAAGTGTCTAACCTTGAATTTGTATCTCAACCATCCAAATCTTTGTAATATAATTGGATTTTACTTTTTTTTATTTTTTATAAATCACTTTATAATATTCGCTTCTTACCGTTTAGGGGTTAAAATTAAACTGTTATATCCATATTCTTGAAGTCTAGTTATACTTAAACTTTAATCCAACATATATATATATATATATATATATATATATATATCAAAAGACATCCTAATATCCAAAAATGAAAAATGCTAGCAAGATTACACTTTTATATCACATGATGTGGCAAGTAATCTGTACATGACACGTCAATTAATGGTTTTATCCCATTAACTAATGATTACATGAATCATTTACCACATCATGTAATGTGGTATAAATATATGGTCTACTAGCATTACTCTATTCAAATAACATGCAAAACTTTTGCGATTGATATCCTTTATTTTTTTAATTACAAAAGGTGTTGTTATTGACACTAAAAAAAAAATCATCCTACACTTCTTATAAGTATATATATATTTTTTTTATAAATATAAAAAGTTAATTTGACTCTCACAATGACCTTTGTCAATAATATATAAAAATAAACATTTTTTCTCAATAACCTTTTGGAGATATTTTTATAATGCAGTTCATGATTGAAGTGGAAATTGACTACCGCTTATATTTGAATATTTCTATCATGCAGTTCGTAATTCATGATTGATGTCAATAATTTTTTTTTATATTTGTATGGCTTTTTTAATTTATTATTAGTAAGGAGAGAGAGAGTATTCGAAACTATTATAATAATTTAGGAGATGGAGAATTTTGAACCGGCTATAATGCATGTGTGAAAATCCAATATCATGCCTACTAAAATATTAGATTACGTGCATATTTGTATGACTTTGAGTATTCGTCCAAATTATTGAAATGGACTACTGCTTTGTTAATTAATGCAGTTCATGATTACTTGAAATTGTTGGTTTCATGGTTTGTATGACTTTTGAGTATTCGTCCAAATTATTGAAATGGACTACCGCTTTGTTAATTAATGCAGTTCATACTGGCTTGAAATTGTTGGTTTCATGGTTTGTATGACTTTGAGTATTCGTCCAAATTATTCAAATGGACTACCGCTTTGTTAAATTAATGCAGTTCAAGATGGCTTGAAAGTGTGTGGCTTGATGGTTTGTATGCTCTCGATTTTAAATTAAATTTTAGGATAAATTATACAAAATTACTTCAATTATAGGTCAAATCACAATATCATATCCCATGTTTAAAAACTACAATGTCATACCTTATCTTACAAATTTGTTGCAATGTCAGACCTCTGTCACTTTTTTCTGTCAATTTATCTATTAAATGATGATGTTGCTTGAGACGGAGCCCACTTTCTTGTCCAACTAGATAAAAATATTAATTAAACATTTAAAAAAATTAAAGATAAAATTAATTAATATTTGATTAAAAAATGGGACCCACCCCTTACCATCACCGTCATGCCTCACCTTTCTTCTTTCCCAGTTCATTCGTCCCCCCTCCCCAAGATTAAATGTAATGACCCATTCCCAAATATTTTGGATTTTATAATTTTAAAGCATGAATTTAAGAAAATGCCCTTCGGGGCAAAAACGTTGACTTTTGTTGCCACCTTGTCATGTCACATGAGATTCATTTCCTTGGCGTATCCTAATAGTACTCATCGCTACGAACACGCGGGCGCAAAAGGAGTTGAAATTGGATCTAAAACGTGATTTTGTGGTTAGGTGTGTCGATTGGAAGTGGCCTCGTCCTCCCTAGTTCAAGCGGTTCCCCGGTAACAAAATAACTGTGAGTAGACCCCTTCTTAAATTGCATGTTGTTATAAAATATTAAGCTAGCATTCACGAGAAGCATGATTTTACATTTTATAAAATAACAGGTTATGGGTCAACTCGTTAATGAGTCGGATCATTATCAGGTCACCCATTAAGAACCCCTTCACAAGTCGGGTCATTACCGGGTCATCCGTTAAGAACTCGATAAGATATCGTTTGTGAGATCTAGACATAACATGTTCGTTTATTGCATGACCCATTAACCTAATACAAAACGACACGATCAATTAACAAATCTGGTCATTATTGGGTCACCTATTAAGAACACAATAAGATAACGAGTTTGATACAATATAACTCATTAAGATAACGGTCTACGAGATACCATAAAACTAATTAATACTAACTAAGGACTTTGGACCCTTCTACTCAAACATCAACTTCAAACATCAACTTCGTCCCTTTTCATCTTGTTAGATACGGCCCCACTCCAATAAGGACTTTGGCCTTTTCCTTCATATTAGGTGGAGTCCTAATTTAACAAGGTCTTGGATGGATTTAACTAGACCATAAGGCTGTGGACGTGCTCATCCCTAGTCAGCCATAGTTGTATTTAGTGTTTTATTTATTCTACTTGGTTGTTGGTGTCAAAACTCAGACAGAATCTGAATTAGATTTAACACGCATTTGCTTCGAATATTGTTTTCGATCTCAGTGCCATGAGATGGTTCAAGAGAAAAAGTGAACAAGCATGCCACTGTTGTAGGCAGTTAACAGACAATGTTTGCATTTAAGTGTGTAAAAAATGCACGTTAATCTAACTTCATAGCCAAATGATTGTAACCAAAGTAAGACCCTAGTTTGGTAAAGTTATTTTCTGTGTCTTGAGTGAAAGAGGGCTTAAAATTCAATGTAACTTCATGTATACTTGCCTAAAATGTAAATGAAAATAGAAACTAAATTGAGAAACAAAATGTAATCATTTCATGATAAAGTCAAGATTAAAAACATTCACAAAAGTTAAATTTAAGTTGATGGGCTAAGTTAAATGTCTTGAAACGTAGACTGACGAGAAATGTAATGCTAGAGAAGTCCATCGAGATCACTGGTGTCAAATTGAACTTATTTTAAAATATGCACCTTAGAGAGGAAATCAGGGTGAAAAGGATTGCACATCAACTAAATCATACCACAAGGTGGCCAAGCTGTAAAAGTTTTAGATCTCATGGATCATATGCAATGTTTGATTTGAAGAAGGATTTGAGATTGTAACTCAAGAGCTAAGAAAGTTCTTGTTAAAGGGAAATTCAACTCATGCTAAAAAGCAGTTAGGTTGATTGAAGAATCACAAAAGCTTTTGTTTAATCGTTGGGATTGAATTTGACGAAGGTCCTGATGGCGTTAGTGACATCAGCATATCGGATGACTCATACGTGTGCATTTAATGGAGCAAAATACTTTTGGTCTTTGGTTGTCTACGTGGCAGATGTCAAGCCTCGATCTCGGGATACGTCCAGGATTGGCACATGACGCCACAACGTACTTGTTTAACTATCTTGCCTTACTTCTGAGATATGACCAAAACTAAACCAACGTTTCAACAACGTAATACCATTTCCTCTTACTTTGTGTTTGCATTTAACGTTTATGTTAGACTTCCTACGTACAATAAGACAGGATCAAGCCATTCATAGGTCACCATTTTATTTAGCTCCAAAATTTATCATGGCATTAACTGGCCGAAAACATAGAGTTCTCCTAATGTGAGTGATGCTCCAATATATCATTTAATTTTCCACATATATCATATTTTTTTACCAACAATAATTCACATTTTAATGAACCAAAGATGCACAATATTAATGTTTAACCACATTAATGAATAATAAGATCAAATATCATTTCACGAAAGTTAAATAAAGCCAACCTCTGTATTTCTCTATGTAGATTCCAAGAAATATTACGGTAACTTCAAGTTACAAATACAAGAGAACACCTTTGAGAAACTCTTATTCATTAATTCATACAAAGGAGGGTTTTCTAACATTGCAACGAATTCATAAGTTGATGTATGACATTGCAATGTTTAAAACATGAGGTATGAGATTGTGGTTCGACCCAAAGTTGAAATAGTTTGGTGTAATTTACCTAAAAACTTTTGACATTGTTCTGTGCAATGTATTTTTTACAATTTAACTACTTTACACTAGTAAAAAAAAAATACACTTTGCGCGACGTCGGTAGCTTCGTCACACAAAGTCAAAAATCGTTGCCTAAGGGTTTGCGCGACGCAACCTCTTCGCACGCTAATCGTCATGCCAAGGCAGTGATGGTAGGGTTTGCACGACGCACGTCCTACCATGCAAAGTGGCTTTGCGCAACGAACGACGCGCAAAGTGAGGGCGTAGTTTTGGCCATTTTTTTTTATTTTTTGATAAATATTGTAATTAAATTCTTAAGAATAATTAATTAACCAAGCAAAAGTATTTAATTGTAAAATATATGAAAATGTACATACAAGATGTTCGAACAAAAAAGAAAAAACTACAAGTGAACTAGGCTTAATACATTAGGCTACTAGGTAACGGCAGGGTAAGGTGGCTCTGAGGTCGAAGGTGGAGCAAGATGAGATGTTGGTAGCGAGATTTGGAGGCCGGACATCTGTATGGCTTGTACAAGGTCTTTCACCATCCCGGCATAGGTCCTCATCTCCTCACCCTGGGCCATCAGCTGCACCCTCATTTGCTCTTCCGAAATTGATGATGTCGATGAGACGGGCACCTAGGACGCCATAGAAGTAGCCTCAACAAGGGGTGTAGGCTCCCTAATCAATGGAGCACTCACTGCTGGAGCAGTAGATGCTAATAATGAGGGAGGCGCATTGGTCACACTCTGACGACGAGTGATCAACTGCGACATCTATACACTTTTTGAACTATAAAAATATAACATTAGAAACTAATCATTTCTTGCATTTGAAACTAGAAGAAAAAAGCAAAGAAAATTGAACAAATAAGCCATGTGTGAAAAAAGCAAAGAAAACTGAACAAACATTAACCAAAGATTAAAAAGTGTAATGAATCCAAGGCAGCATGATTGATTAAAAAGAGTCAAACCTAAAAAGAGTTAACTTGTGACACCTTGATGCTTCACTGTTACATATACCCCACATAATATATGCATCAAAACTCTAAGTGACAGAAGCACATTTTTACCCCCACAAGTGATAAGGACTCCCCACCAAATTCCAGAAGAATTTGCAAATTATGACCCGGATTTAGAGTCCATGAAATGGAAAATGGAAAATGCAAAAACCAAAGAGATAAAGTAATGAACAGTTCTTTTGCATAAAACAAATGAAAAAGAAAATGTAAAGTCAATTAAAAAAACTGAGAGATAAAGTAATCAAAACCAATATATAGCACATCCCAGATACATGGTTTGCAAGAAAATGCACTATGTTCTGTTAAGGTTGAATCAAGCCTGAACAACCAGAAAATTGAGCAAACATACAACATATTTTGTGATTTGTAGACTAAGAGAAAATAAAAGTGATACTTACAAGAAAACAAATGTGATACTTACAAGAAAACAAATGTGATACTTACACGCCTCATCTAACCCAACATTTGAGTTCTTTCGATGGGTGAAATGCATCACTCTTTGAGGAAACACCCCCGCCCCTCCCCACCATGCATAAATAGTAAAACATTACCATTTTAAGAATCCCACAAAACCCACAACCAACTCAACTCTGCATTCAAATAACACATCTATCTTTTTCTTTTGGCACATTAATATATCATCTTTTACATGGTCTTTTAAAGTGGTGATTAAAGATCAGTAAACTTCAATTGCAAGAGCATTAAGTCGAGCAGATGGTGGACCTGAATAGAGGAGTAGTAGTTTCGTATAATTACCCAATAATCCAACTCAATCAAAGTTGTTGAGGCATTTCGTCAAACAGGTTAGGGACAACAATTCAGCATAGACAAGTCCATGGAGGATTATGTAAATGACCATATGAGTACATATCCAGAACACAGAAAAATACTCAAAAACACGTAAAATGTAGATGAAAGCATATAATTATTTAATTACTACTTATGAAGTTTAGCAGTTGAAAGCAAAAACCAACACAAATCATACATCCTAGGCGTTATTCTTGAAGAAACTGATTGGTCTGAGATAGGTGAGAGAATATGCCAAAGAGGGAGATGACGGTAGATTGTAATCCTAAGGATTAGGGTTTCTCTTCGTCCACTCGACTTTTTGAAATACTCCAGTAGCTGGAAGTAAATCCAAGAACAGGACCTTGAAGCATATCCCCTTCGAGAGTATGAACCAAAGCAAAAGATGGAATCCAATTCTGGATGCAATTAGATTTCAACCCCTAAATTTCAAGCCCTAAATTAAATTTCAACCTCTAAACCCTCAGTATACAGTATACTTTATCTTCCAAGTACTAAATTTCACAAACCCTAATCTAGAATTCCATCCCTAAATTAAATTTACCTGATTTGGGGGAGAATCGGTGCACAGTGAGGTGAGGGATGATAGGTGAGTCACTTGTCTGATGTGGGAGGATGAGAGAAATCGGCGAGGAGGGTGATGTTGAGAGAGAGAGTGACTGAGTGAGGGCGAGGAGGGTGAGGTGAGGGTCTAAGATTAACGAGAGCGAGAGTGCCTTAGTGAGGGTCCAAACTTGGGAAGGTAGAGAGAGAGTCTAAGATTAACGAGAGGAAGAAAGAGTTGGGCCAAACTTGGAAATTTGAAAAAAAAAAAAACGAATTTTTTACTATTGTCCCGCCAAAATTATCACAACTGACGCGATATAGGTATACAATTTCACGTTTGCACGACAACCACATTAAGGCGTCATGTAAGGTATTTTTTTTTTTAAATTATTATAAAAATTACTGAAAATGTGACTTTCTTCCTTTCAAATTCGATTTTTTTTTTACATAAATCCCACAATAATTTTTTTTACATACATACATATATATATATATATATATATATATTATTATTCAATTTCTTAAGTGTTATAAGTACAAAATAAATAAATTAAAATATAGTTAGTAAATATATGTACCATTAAACTTGATGGGAAACGCATTGTACGAAACTAGTTTCAAAGATCCAACCATCAAACTTGTTTGTATATGCTTCGAGATCGCATACGCCAAAAATCGCAAAAAAACAAATGTAGAGATCAAGTAACTGGACAAAAATTTTCGACAGTTATAAACGAAAAATCCCAATTTAACGGTTATTTTAACTCCGATTTTGATGATTTTTTTACAGCTACACTCCTTGACCCTATATGAATACAACGAATTGATTCGATCGTCAATTTAAAATATTTACACAAGTGAATACCACAAAAGAAAAATGTTATACTTAATGAAAGTATAAATAAACTCCAAGTGTTAGTAAATATACTGTTTTGATGGGATACACATTGTACGAAACTAGTTTCAACGATCAAACCGTCAAACTTGTTTGTATATACATTGAGATCGTATACGCCAAAAATCGCAATAAACAAACATGCAGAGATTAAGTAACGGCACAAAACTTTTCGACGATTATAAACGAAAAATCCTGATTTAACAGTTATTTTAACTCTGATTTTGATGTTTTTTTACGACTACACTCCTTGACCCTATATGAATACAACGAACTGATTCGATCGTCAATTTAAAATATTTACACAAGTGGATACCACAAAAGAAAAATGTTATACTTAATGAGTATAAATAAACTCCAAGTGTTAGTAAATATATTGTTTTGATGGGATACGCATTGTACGAAACTAGTTTCAACGATCCAACCGTCAAACTTGTTTGTATATACGTCGAGATCACATACGCCAAAAATTGCAATAAACAAATATGCAGAGATCAAGTAACGGCACAAAACTTTTCGGCTGTTATAAACGAAAAATCCCGATTTAACGGTTATTCTAACTCCGATTTTGATGTTTTTTTACAGCTACACTCCTTGACCCTATATGAATACAATGAACTGATTCGATCGTCAATTTAAAATATTTACACAAGTGGATACCACAAAAGAAAAATGTTATACTTAATGAAAGTATAAATAAGGGTAAATTACATAGTAGCCCCTCAAATTTGAGATCTATTACAATCGCATACAACAACTTCAAAACATTTCACTTTCATACCTCAATTACTATTTTATTTCAATATAGTACCTCCGTTACATTTTCCATCCATTAATCTGTTAAATGCTGATGTGGCTGCCACATATATGCCACCTGGCTGCCAAATGTTTGCCACGTGGCAAATAAAATTTTTTTTTTAAACCTTAATTTTCTCAACAAAAAAAAAATTGAATCACCCCTCACCCACCCCCCCCAGCGACCTCCCTAGAAACTTGCAACAAGAAGAAGAAGAAGAGAGGATAAAAAAAAAGAGAAAAAAAAGCCGAAGAAGAAGAAGAAGGGAAAAAAAAAGGGATACCCATATCCCTCACCCCTCCCTACCCATAATCCATTCCTGAGTCTCTCTCGGATCTCTCACTCTTCTCTCTCACTCTTTCACTCTCTATCTTTCTCTCAGACTCTCTACCCGACAGTGCACCCACGCACGCACCCATTTACATAACCACACACGCACCGACGACACACCACCACCATTGAGCTTCAAAATCCCCGGCGGGAAATCCGACTTGAAGTCGTTGTGGCTGATGTTGAGGATCTTGAGGTTGTAGAGCTTGAAAATGGGGGGCTGGAGAGGGTCGTGGAAGGCGTTGCCGCTCAAATTGAGGTGGATTAGTGAAGAAAGGCGGCGGATTTGTGGTGGGATTTGGCCGAAGAGGTTGCATGGGAGAGGTCGAGGGAAACAGAGGAGGAAATAGAAGGTACTTTCATGGTTTTTGGGGTGTGGGGAAGGTGCTGGGTGAGAGTGAGAGTGAGAGGAAGAGTGTGTTGGGAAATTTAAGGGAATTGGGGTCTTGATGGCTGCTTCTGGGTTTTCTAAGGGGATAGGGTTTCGGCGACTGGGGGGAAGAGGTGGGATCTAGGTTTTCTAAAGGTTTTTGTTTTTTTTTTTTTTTTGGAAGATTGAGGTTTTTTTTTTTAAATTAAAAATTATTATTTTTGCTACGTGGCAGCCACATCAGCACAAATGTGGCAGCCACGTCAGCATTTAACAGACCAATAGATGACAAATGTAACGGATGTATTGTTTTGAAATAAAATAGTACATGAGGTATGAAAGTAAAATGTTTTAAAGATATTGTATGAAGTTGTAATAAACCTCAAACCTTAGGGGTTATTATGTAATTTACCCTATAAATAAATTCCAAGTGTTAGTGAATATATTGTTTTGATGGGATACACATTGTACGAAACTAGTTTCAATAATCCAATCGTCAAACTTGTTTGTATATACGTCGAGATCGCATATGCCAAAAATAGCAATAAACAAACATGCAAAGATCAAGTAATGGAACAAAACTTTTCGACGGTTATAAACGAAAAATCCCAATTTAACGGTTCTTTTAACTCCGATTTTGATGATTTTTTTACAACTACACTCCTTGACCCTATATGAATACAACGAACTGATTTGATCGTCAATTTAAAATATTTACACAAGTGGATACCACAAATGTCTTTTGCACAAAGCCACCTTCGTCGTGCAAAGTTCCGTTGCGCAAAGGACATTTGAGCGATGTTTTGTGTTTAGCATCGCGTAAACACACTTTTCGTGACGAAATTTGCTCCATTGCACAAATTTCCGTCGCGCAAATAGATTTTTGTACTAGTGTTATTTGTCAAACTGGAAGATATCATGGGTCGTATAACTGATGTGCACATTTGAAGCCCAAACAAGTTAATCAAAGAATCAAACCTAAGTGTGACATAGTGATTCAAAACATTAGGTTATTCCTTCCTTCTTATTGCTTGACAAATTGTTTATTATATTGTTTTATCTACATTGCAAAATATTAAAACGTTGTCTTTATCAAAGAATTGTTTGATGCTTACATTGTTGGCCAACTCTCTTCCTCATAGCTTTCTTAATACAATTTCTCTCACAAAAAATAAGAGCTGACAGTTACGCTGTGGCCAGATGTTGCTCGAAATTTTGCTTCTTTGTCAATTGAAGCATTGTGTCACAGCCCGTCCCGGAGATATGTATTATTTTATTCTCGAGGACGTGAAAGGACGGTTTTATCCTTAGACGTTGAAATTGTAGTGTATGTGTGTGTGCATATTTTGGTACTTGGATGTCATGTTCTTGGTTGGTTGGTGACCATGTGGGACACACACACACACACACAAACCTCATTCTCTCTCTTCTCTCCCGTGCTTTCTCTCTCTCTCTCTCTCTCTCTCTCCTCCTTCTTCGTACGGACGACACCCAAAACCCATTGAAACGTGACAGATCGAGGGTGTGAAGCACACCATTGTGTTCATGAGGACCATACGAGTTCAAATGTACCATTTTCAGGTAAGAACACCTTCGAAATCACGTGAAAACTCAAACCTCGAATGAGGTATTGTTTATGCACTAATTGTTGTGAGGTTTTTAGGGGATTTCAAGCTCATAGGGAGCTTTAGAAGGCTGTCACGAAGCTCGGGGTGTATCGTTTGAGTGTTTTGGACGTCGGGATAGTGAGTCTCAACCTTGGCTGGTTTTTCTAGAATTTTCCTGGCGAGATCCCGTGGTTTTTTAGGCTTGAAAGAGGTATAAACTTATTCTATTCTTCATGAACTTCATTTTGGCATAAAGATCGTGAAAAATGGTTCAAAAATGGCCGAGATATCACGGTTTAAAATTTTTCCAGTTTTCTAGTGTCAGCGACGGTCATCGGAGTTCAGAGGTAGGAGACGACGGAATCTTCCGTCAAGTCTAACGAAATATTCCGATGTCGTCAGTTAGTTTGGACGGATTCCGTTAGGATTTAACAGAATATTCCCGATATATACCTGACGGCTTTGACTGACGCCGTCAGTATGCCTGTCACGTGGCCGCTTGTGAGGGCGAGTATTGCCGTGCCTTGGCCGGTGCGTGGGTGGTCAAAAAATTATTCTAAGAATATGGGGATGTTCGTGGAGTTGTGTAGATCACGTTGGTATATTCAAACACCCCATTTGAGCATTGTATGAGAAGTTATTAGCTAATTTTGCCTATGTGCTTTAAATAACGTTTTTATAGTTAATTCGCATATAGGTGAGACTTATCTCAAGGACGAGCGCGTTCAAGGGCGACTCGGGGGCTACGACCCTTCGACATACCAATGAGTGGGCTTTTGGTTTTCAATATATATTTATATACTTGATATTTTCCCATAAATATGTGTTTAAATGAAAGTATGCCTTAAATGTCATGCATATGAATTTATATTTCGTATATGAATTGGTATATGATGCATTATATATATAATTGTGGTGTTGTGGATGCTCAGGTAAGCTCAGGTGAGTTATGTTTGGTTATGTGAATTATCAATGGTGCGATATGTGATTGAATAATGTTGAGCTCATAGAACTACACCTAGGGTGATTGTGATTTAGCCAGAGATATGGCAGGCCTATTTATTATGTCACCTCTCGCACCATATGCTCATATTGGATCCAATTTAGGTGCACAGTCCTATCGTATAGACCATCTTAGGTGGTTCTGACTCGTAGGTGACTAGCGATTTATCGCCCAACTATTATGTGTGAGTAGTATTGAGCATGATTATATTACACCCATTATTGTCGTACATACCTTTTCAT